TGGGGATATGGGCCGGGCCCTACCCAGCTGCTCCCGGCTCCCTCTTCAGCCTCATCCCCTGCCATCGCCTGCCGCGCACTCTACAGCTGCCTGTGCCATGGCGTGCAAGGCCTTTGCTCAACGCGGTTCCTCCGCCTGAAACGGTGCTGCCTTGCTTCCTCGGGCTACTCTCATCCATGGCGCTTGGCTGAGGGAGGCCTCACCTCTTCCCTAGATCAAGAGGGCTTGGTGTCTCCCTTCCCAAAAGGCCTAGAGCTCTTGCCCGGCCCGCGTGGCTCAGCGGTTGAGCGTCGACCTGTGAACCAGGAGGTCACGGTTTCGTTCCCGGACGGGGCACGTGCCCAGGTTGTGGCTCAATCCCCAGGGTGGGGCGTGCAGGAGGCAGCTGAATCATGGTTCTCCCTCATCATGGATGTTTCTCTCTCTCCCTCTCCCTACCTCTCTGCAATCAGTAAAAATATATATTTCAAAACAAAACAAAACAAAAAGGCCTAGAGCTCTTCAAGGGACCTGGTCGAATCCACCTTTGCAGCGTTGGCACCTGGTCACGGTGTCCCCAACTGAGATAAGCGTCCCAGGACCTCACTGTGACCCAGGCAGGCCACCCTGCCCGCCTGGTTGTCCGTGTTCTCATCCAGTGACCCCCTGGGAGCATCCAGCTGGCATCTGAGGGCCCCTTGTTCTGCAGTCTGCCCTGTTCCTCCGTGGGCAGCACCACGGAGCGCTCGGCCCGTGAGGCTTTGCGCAGCCGGTTCTCTATGCACAGAGGTGCTCTCTGTCCAACCTAAGCCCTCGAGGGTGCATTCCAATCGCATGCCTGTTCGCCTCCCCAGCCCGCGGGGTCCCTGCACACACTAGCCTTCAGTGAGTGTGTGTGGGTGACAGTGTTGAAACGGCCCCCCGCTGATTGCACCAGGTCCTTGGATCTTTACAGTCGCTGAAGGGGAAGGAAGGAAGGAAGGAAGGAGGAGAGATCACGGTGGCAGCTCCAGCCTGCTCTCCAGCACTTTCTCAGCGAGGAAATCAGATGGCCGTGTGCTTTTTATTTCAGCTGCCTCCTGCACGCCCCCTACTGGGGATGTGCCCGCAACCCAGGTACATGCCCTTGACCGGAATCGAACCCGGGACCCTTGAGTCCACAGGCCGACGCTCTATCCACTGAGCCAAACCGGTTTCGGCTGGCCGTGTGCTTTTTAAAATACAGAGTTAGAGCCCTAGCTGGTTTGGCTCAACGGATAGAGCGTCGGCCTGCGGACTGAAGGGTCCCGGGTTCGATTCCGGTCAAGGGCATGTACCTGGGTTGCGGGCACATCCCCAGTAGGGGGCGTGCAGGAGGCAGCTGAATCGATGTCTCTCTCTCATCGATGTTTCTAACTCTCTATCCCTCTCCCTTCCTCTCTGTAAAAAATCAATAAAATATATTTTAAAAAATAAATAAATAAATACAATAAAATACAGAGTTAGGGCAACACGGACTCTCCCTTCGCTCATCCGCACCCGCGACACCCAAACACTTGTCTGAGGACAAAGATCTCACCGAGGCCCAGATACACGAGAAGAATACCAGGAATGTCGTTAAGCTCTTTGGAAAGCTAAATCTACCCTGTTTAAAGGGCTGCCCTTTATTCGGAGATTTGGCCGTTCCTATGGTTTTGGGGGTTAATGATGGTCATGGTAGCTGGCAAAAAAAAATTTTTTTAAAAGTCCTTCCCGGGAAAAATAAAAATTTGGCAACATATGTCAGACCCTAAGAGTTTGAAATGTCACTGTCCTGTGCCATCCGAGGCCCAGGCCTCAGCCCTGAAGCCGTGGGTAAGTCCCTGCTGCCGCGGGACCGCCTCTCCTGCCATCGGCCGGTCACTCGCCTTTTCTGTCTGGCGGTGACACTCCTGAGTCAGCAGCTCGCAGTCCCGCATCTTGGTCTTCAGCAGGTCCTGTTTGGTGGCTGAGAGTAGCAGACCCTTGGCATCCAGGGGCCCAATGATGTCGTACCAGATGGGAGAGCCCTCCTTGTCGTAGCCACACATGCCCCCCGTCAGGTACAGCCGGACCACCTGGGCCAAGACACGGAGAAGGCGCCTGGTCAGCAGGTGGGTCAGGCACCTTCCCCGTGTCCCAGGGCCTCCCTCTGGGTTCCCCAGGCTCTCCCTCCACAGCCTTCCCCCGGGGGCCAATGGGCACCCGTCCGGGGGACCACGAGGGCCCACTTGGCATGGTCAGAGCTTTCTTCTGGGGTTCCAGGCCCACAGACCCAGCACACAGGTTGTGGGCCTCATGACCTCACGGGGGAGGGGGCGGGGCCAGGACCCCCTGTCCTCACCTCTGGCGGCTGCCAGTTTAGGACGTTGTCGACGTCCTTCTGCTTTCGGAACTCCACGTGCTGCAAACACACAATCAGGGCTTTAAAAAAGGGAGCCCAGCCCGGCGTGGCTCAGCGGGTGGCGCGTCGACCCTGGCACCGGGAGGTCACCAGTTCGATTCCCGGTCAGGGCACATGCCCGGGTTGCGGGTTGCAGGCTCGATCCCCAGTATGGGACATGCAGGAGGCAGCCGATCCATGGTTCTCTTTCATCATTGGTCTCTCTCTCCCTCTCCCTTCCTCTCTGAAATCAATAAAACTATTTCTTTTTTTTTTTTAAAGGGAAAGCAGGGTAGGGAGACCTCTTAATAGACACCTAGGTGTAGGTGACGGCATGAAGGGGTGCGTCACGAGAAAGCGACTGGCAGGAATGCGAAGCAAGGCCCTGCCTCTTTTAGAGGTCTGGGCAGAACACGCCTCCTCGGCCGGCCCAGACCCCAGCAGGCTCTGTGCCCGGGGGAGGGGATGCACTTTTTCCAGAGGGATCAGGCGGTCGTGGTTGGCTAAAACGCAGAGATGTCACACCAGGCCACAGGCCGTGATGGAGGTGGGCGGGAGGGGCGGAAGATGGGGGTCCTCTGAGGGGTAGAAACGGAGGCCGCCCCGGGATCCGGAGGCAAAATGGACCTCACCTTCCGTAGCATGGCCTCGGACTTCTGCAGGTCGAAGCTTCTTGCTGTAACAGGGAAACGTGGTCAGGGTTAGGCCAGCAGGCCGGGCGTCCAGGGACACAGAGATCTCCCCTGTTCCCATTCTAGGGCCGGCTCCTCTCCGTCCACACCCCAGCTGGCTCTCAGATCACCCCCCAGGTAGAAGCTAATGTGAGGACCTTCATTGGAGGCGTCTAGACCCGTGGTCGGCAAACTGCGGCTCGCGAGCCACGTGCGGCTCTTTGGCCCCTTGAGTGTGGCTCTTCCTAAGCCTTAGGAGTACCCTAATGAAGTTAATAACAATGTACCTACCTATATAGTTTAAGTTTAAAAAATGTGGCTCTCAAAAGAAACTTCAGTCGTCGTACTGTTGATATTTGGCTCTGTTGACTAATGAGTTTGCCGACCACTGGGCTAGAGAACCACAGACCCTGGAGAGCAGGTCAAGGTTCGGGCACGTGGGAGCAGCATTGCAACTTCAGGGTCGAAAGAGTTTGGCCCCAGTGGGTGCAGTCAGCCGAAGGGTCTTATCTCCGCTCGGGGAAAGTGGACCCTGGACTCCCTTATCACTTAGCCTTCCCCTGACACAAAGCTAATCTCTCCCACAGTCTAACACCCAAACCTGAGAACCTGATACACAGTTCAAAGGTGAACTGGCCGGCCGGCGTGGCTCAGTGGTTGAGCGTCGACCTATGAACCAGGAGGTCACGGTTCGATTGCTGGTCAGGGCACATGCCCAGGTTGCGGGCTCGATCCCCAGTGCGGGGCGTGCAGGAGGCAGCGGATCCATGGTTCTCTCTCATCATGGATGTCTCATCTCTCTCTCCCTCGTCTTCCTCTCTGAAACCAATATATATATTTTAAAAGATGAACATAGCTGCCCCATCATCTGGGGTAGAGCTGGCAGAACATCCCAGTAGGATGGAGGGGTTGGTAAAGTCCCAGTCAACCTGGCCATGTCTTGCAAGGACAGACTCATCCCCCAGTGGGACACAGGGGACCCTCCTGCCAGGATTCCTGGAACATTTCACACTAAAGCTCACCGAGGCCAACTTTATCTCATGCATGAACCCCGAAAAGTTGTCCCGCTAAAGCTCCAACACAAAGACCTCACCGGCCCGCACAGCCACTGGCTCCCAGAGAGTTGCCATTTGCACTCAGGGCTCCTCGTGATACCGAGTACAGATCCACTCAGCGATGCTTAGGGAGTGGCCGTCAGCCACGTGACAACCTTCCCAACACTGGCAACCACTGTGCCACCCCCCCCCCCGGGCCCCCCCCCCTCCCCACAGC